ACCATCCACCTTGAGAAGGTGTCAGGGAGGGAGGTGGGGCTAGAGGAGTTTGTGAGCATTATGATTCAGGAAATTGGGTTAAGAATGTTTCTTAATTATTAGATCATCTTAACCCTTCCTGCTCCAATCCTATTTTCTTGTGACCAGTACAGTTCATCTTTCTGTTATAGTGTTATTTTGGTGTGTCATTCATTTGCAGAAGTTTATTTTGTTTACTCTATTTTATTGTCCCCTGTGTACTGGGCTTTACGCTTCTTTCCAGTTTGAAGTATTACCATGGATTTATCAAAGGATAGACCTCCTGTGCATTGGGCACAGTGCAGAGTCTCTTTGAGTGGAGACACCAGGAGCCAAAAAAGAAAAAGAACCCAGAACCTGACCTGTGTAAGAAGTGGAGAGAAAATACCCCAGATATTGGTGATAAGCGTCTGGGAGAGAAGGGTATACATACTGTTATAATAATAAAAACAAGTTTTAAAACCCAGAGACATGTTTAAAAGAAAACCTGAAGGAAACTTAAAAGAAAAATAACGTACCTAAAAGTTGTTTTGTTAAGTTTGTCAGGGATCCAAGTGGAGTCTTCGGTGACCATTTAAAATAAAAATCACTTTAGTCACAGCCTGAAGTAAAAGCCTTTCATGCTGGTTTCTATGTTTTTTGAAAGTGAACACTGCACTCACAGGGACTGAGTCCTCATTTAAGAGTTAGGTCCAAAGTATTTTGAAAGTAACGAACTCAATGATCAAACTCATTCAACAGCAGAGCTGAGCAAAAGTGAGATTTTCCATCCAGCAAAGAAATTCTGATATTTCAACATTTGTTTTCATCCCAATGCATGGCAAAAAGATGAGGTCAATTTTTATGGAACAGAAATTTTAAAAAATCTCAATTTAGAAATGAAGAAACGTTTTATTCCAGCCCTCTCGACCCAAATGCAATATTTTGCATTAAGAAGCATTTTCCTATTGTTGTGCATTACCTCCTGTAATTGTAGTATTGGAATCTGAGGCAGCTATTCTCCCCTGTGCCCAGGGTTCCTGCATGGACAAGGTCTCCCATGATGCAGCCTCAATCCACCCATGATGCATCACACGTGTTGGTCAGAGGAGAACCCACATTGCACTATGGGGGATGTAGACCTCCAGGGAGCCTGACTCATAGGAGAATGATGACCTCAGGTACAACTCCCATAAGGCAATTTTCTAATAGGGACAGACAGTTTAATGAAATGCTTTGGGTCAGTTCAACAACAACAACAAAATCTGATTTGGGTTGAACCAACCCAAAACAAAAAATATATCATTTTTATTTTTCTGATGAAAAATCAAAATATTTATGCAAAATCAAAATATTTCACAAAAAGTTTCTATTTTGTAGAAGCTGCATTTTCCTTCAGGAAATTATTCCAGTGGTAAGTTCTTGACCATCTCTAGACAATAGTCTCTGCACGTCATTAGCTGCCAGAGCAAATTCTTCTAGTTTAAGTATTGGAGCATAAAATGTACATGATCAAGTAACAAATTCAGTTGCTGCTACAGACCTGTAGGTCTCGCTCCTCAGGAGGGAACAGGATGCTGCAGATGCAATGAGCAGGGGGATCTGTAGCTGAGCAGTGACTCCAACAGCCGGGGGAGAGAAGGAAAATGGATGTAGGGGAAAATCACTGACAGATTGATTACTTTTTTCACTACCTGTGGGTGAGTAGGGGTGGGTCTTTGATTGCAGCTGATAGTTCCTGCAGGCCGTGTAATGGAGCGTGGCACCTCCTGATCATCAAGAGGGAAGAAAAGGAAGAGGCTAAACAACACTGATGGTGGGAATAAAAGGATAAAACAAGCAGTGCTGAGATGAATCCTATCCACCTACCAACTGATAGGGAGAGCTCTGAGACCTTGACAGACGGAGCCTGGTGGGGTAGACGGTGACAGAAGCACCTCAGCCCTCCAGGCCATGGATCTGATGTTCTTGGGAGAGAAAAGGGGAACCTGCATTAGGCGTTAGTTTATTGGCCAAGAAAAGGAAATGAGAGCAATTGAGAGGTTAAAGAAGAATATATTAACAGGTGAGTCACAGTTTGTAATTCCAGATTGTGGCTGTGATTTAATAAACTGCCAGTTTCCTAAAAGTCTTTTCAGGGTCCCCAGATTATCTCTGGGGATCTCGGCTTTGTATCTGGTACACTTCCCTGTAAGAGTCCAAACAGTCAGAGATGAAGGATCATTCCCTGAATCCACATTTATAGATTCTTCAGTCAGAAAATAGGCTGACAGCTTCTACCAACATGGGCTTTTCCTCTGATGACAGTAAGTGAGGAATGCCTTTAGAGTCTCTGACCTCCGGTCATTATATACAATGGCCACTTGCTTTGAAATTAGCATTTCACAAGGCTTCTTTGAAATGCATGAAATATAAAATCCCTCTGACTAAAAGAAGCTTCTGAGAGATTTGTTGTACTTCCACACCACCAACTGGAGATCCACACTTGCCATTCTCTCTGAGCACAGACAGGTCAAGTGTCCAATAGAAAAATCAGACAGTAGCCTTGGCCAACAAGCCCTGCAATCAGGGTATTAAGACTGAGGTCACTGTGTGGGACCCCAGAGTTGTTGAATTCATTGAAGAAGCTGCAGGACTAAGAAGCTGCAGAACTGAAAAGACCTACCAGGCACTTGACCACCCCACAGACCAACTCTCTCCCTTATAGGGTTACCAGAACTGAGAAGATCCTGTGAGGTTTAATTTCACAGATTGTACTACTCTGTGTTCTTTTTTTATATATATACATTATATGTCTTAAGCCAACTGAATGCTTATTCTTTGGAGAATAACTAGAATTACTTAAAGTGGGATAAATATGTTAGTGGGAATAAAGAATTTATAACTAATGATTATAAATAGATGTAATAAGAAATGTTGGTAATTTGTTTTGTTCCTCGGTATAGTTGCTGGACCACAATGCTGGTCTATGTTAAACACTTGCAAGACCGCATGTGTTCAGTACATGCCTAGAGTATTTGTGTATCTATACCTGACAAAGTGTTGCGTATATACATAAGTAGTTCAGGGAGAATTAATAAACTGTTGATCAGTTAAGAACCCCACATGTCCTGATCTGAGAAATACTGTCCATGGTAACAGCTGACCTGAAAAGAATCTACCATTAAAATTAGTGTGCTAATGCTCCCTAGACTAAAAAAAAAGTTCTCCTATTTAAATTCCATTCCAACATTGGCTACAACACTTATCAAATTGGCTAATCTATTTGTTAGATTGAGATTTTAAAATCTCATCGAACTCCTGGCAAATTCATAAAATAGCCCCATATTTACACGTACAGCTGTAGGTTATGCTTGGCATTTCTGATGATATAGTGTGTGGTATTAGGCCAGTGTCCTTTGTACAGCATCCCATCATGTGCAGCAATTTCATTTCTATTGTTATTATTAATTAAATTGTAATGAGCTTCTTCTCCCCCAGTGGCTGGGCGGAAGGGGGTTGTGGTGAGAGACAGAGCCTGAGGGAATGGGAAATTGAAACAAAGTGTACTTATGGTTGGTGGTACTGCTCGTTACCTGCTCCAGGGGAAGCAGGCACTGCTGTGTTAGGCCTCTCATGAAATTATAGGGTTTTTTTAGATTTTAGATAACGTGACTCCAGGAGCTGAGGCTAAATAAAACCCTCACCAAGTGTTTTAAACCTTGCAATAAAGTGGCAAGGATTAGCAACTCTAGGTGGTTCTTTACACAGTGGATTCTGTAATATGGCTTCCAACACTTACGTTTCATGAACATATATGGTCAGAAATGAGTAGAGCTAGAATACACCCCAGACACAACAGCCAACATTTGTCTCTCAATGGGCAGAGTTGTGTCGTGTTTTACTCAGTCCTTTCAAAGCATATGTCCGTGAGGAGAACCCCCACCCATAACCAAGCAACTGCAATTTTAGGCTCTTTGTTAATCTCAAAGTAATTCAGTACCAATGCCCCATGACAACATTTTTTAAAATTCCCTAAAGATTTTCTCTTGTCTGTCATCCCAGCGACATCCTCTAGTGCCCTCTAGCAGCATTCTGAGTAGAACACTCAATTGCGACAAGTTAAGGCTGAATTAGCTGAGACACGTTAACCTGCTGTCACAGAGGGCACTGGCCCTTCAGAGGAGCTGCCAGGCCCAGCGCTGTGGTCTTGGTTTCTTCCCTGAATTAGGGCTTCTGGCGGCTGTAGTCCAAAGCAAAGCCCAAGAGTAGTATAAGGGCCCTACCATCAATCAAACCCTAACCCCGCCCCTTGACCCCTCCCATCTGTCACCGGAAGTCCCACCCCATGGGGGTATTACTTCCGGGGTCAAGGTGCCACCTGGCCGGAAGCTAGGTGTGTCATGTAA